TTGGAAATTGTTCAAACTTGTTTGCACCATAGTTATGGAAGAGAATGTCCTTGTTTGTAGAAAATATACTAAAGTATTCAAGGCTGATAGGGGTGATTAGGGGTTGATTACGTCCCAAATTTGCTCTCAAATGGTTCAGGAAAACAAAGTTTCTTGTAACTTTCTGTTGTTTAAAATTATGCCCAAATAAAAATACCTTTAGCATTAAAGAAATAAGTCTGGAGTTACAGCATTGCACCCACTTGGTTTAAGTGTCAGAAGAGGTCAATTCTCCATATTCTCAGTGTTCTGTGTTAATCTATATGAGACTATAGTGTAGTTCTTCTGCTATTTTCATATTATCATTTTCCCACATTTTTGCTGACCGATAATGAAAATATCTTACCCATACACAAATATTAGTTACATTTCCAAGGAAGCAATATTGGGTGCTGGCATCAGCTGGTTGAGTTGAAATCCAGCTGCCAGCACCTGCTAGCAGTGGGCCCTTAGGCACGTTACTTAACATCACTGCACTTTCGTTTCCATATTCATGAAACGTGGATAATAATGATGTCAACCTCATTGAGTTCTCAGAATTAAATTTGATAATCATTTCAAAGCATGTAGACACCGAGTAGAACATAACTAATATTCAATAAATGTTAGCTAGTATCTTGCTGCCTACAAGGCTCTATCAAATAAAATATAAACATCACGGTTGGCAGTACATCCTCTTTGACAGCATGCTCCCCTTACATAAGGTACATTTATTTTTCAAGTGTGTATCCTCTAGCGAGTTTTAAAATATGACAGATGAAAATGTAGCTGGTTGTCAAAATACAAAATTAAAGACTAAATTTTTATAAATAAAAAGTTCTAATTAAAAAAAATCTTTGAGCCCTCCTGCCTTGAGAAAAAATAATATTATAGTATTTGTATTGATCAGCTATTTTACAATGATACTGTGTGACAAATCACCCCAAAATGCAGTGCCTTACCACAAAAACATCTATTCTCATGATCACAGGTGGTGCAGGTTGGCTATGCTCAGTTGATGTAGGTAGTGCTCTGTTGGGCAGCACATTTTCAAGGTGTGAGTTGTCTGGGCTTAACTCCAAACTGTGGCTCAGGTTGAAATCTGCGCCATAATATTTCTCCTCTTCTTTAAACCAGTGCTAAAGGGCATTTCTTATCACAGCAAGTGTCAGAAGCACAAGCACCAGGTTCAATTATGCAGCACATTTAAGCCCCTTGCTCACATCATGCCCACTAATATTTCATTAGTCAAATCAAGTCACTTGGGGTCAAGTCCAACATCAATGGAGTGGGAAGTATTCTCTGCCTACAGTGGGAGGACACTGAGATGTATAATACATTGCAGGAGACTGAAGAATTGGAGTCTATAATCCAATTTGCAATCCACAGTGTTTGATTGGCCTGTGCTCTGTCCATGTCCAGAAATCTCGGGAGTTTTGTAAGAAATGGCAACAGTGCGCCAGCAGGCAGCAAGCAGCAAGCAGCAGGTTGTTTCCGCAGCTGTAAGGAGGGATTTGCTCTGATTTACTTCCCAACCCACACACAGTTCACAAAAGGAACTACAGATATCAGGAAAGTAATCTGTGGCCATGACATTGAGATGTTGCTCTTGCAAAACTTTTCTATATAGAATGACACATGGACTGCATACTTAGCTTCCAAACAGTGGTATATTCCTTCCACTTACATGAATTCACTTTATAGCAGGAGTCTCTCATTTTTATTTTTATAAAATTTCGGATATATCTTGCATATAGTATATGCTCAATATATATGGGTTGAAATTGTGAGAAGTGTTAATATTGGAGAAACAAAAATAATGCCACCCCTAGAATTCTCACAGGTCACTGTGGTCTTGAGCATAGGAAAATAAAGCATCATGTGACACGTCAATGCCGTGGAAATTTATGTTCTGAAGTAAATAATCACCTTTTGGTGTATTAACAGAGAATTCAGCTCCTCTAGGACTTTCTTTTTTAGCTAACAAAATAGTATGTTACTCTCATGTATTTCTTCACATTTATTATACACCTTTTTTTTTTTTTTAAATTTCAGAGAGGAAGGGAGAGATAGAAAAATAAATGATGAGAGAGAATCATTGATTGGCTGCCTCCTGCATGCCCCTTACTGGGGATTGAGCCCACAACCCAGGCTCGATCAGAATTGAACCCGAGACCTTTCAGTCCATAGGCTGACGCTCTATCCACGGGGCCAAACCAACCAGGGCTATTATATGCCTTTTAAACCCTTCTAAAAACCAAACATTTAGATTCCCCACTCCACTCAGCTTTATTGTTTATGTGCTTCCTGTGAAGATAACTAGACAGACAAGGCTGAAAAAAGAAAGCTTGTCCTTATAAAATCCTTAGGGGTAACTGTGTAATGAGATTCTTTTTTCCTACCAGTAGAAACCCACTGTTTCACTAAGAACTCACCCATTTGAGGCATTTAAAATGGATGGAAAGTTATAAGGCAGCCAAACTGTCCTTTTAAAAGAGTGAAATGAATGCTAAGCTAATTGCCCAAAAATGCATCAAATGGGTTTTGAAAACAAGACTTCTAAACTGGGTCCCCCTGCTGGATTTGCAGATGCATGTCTTTGCAAATTGGTGAAAGCAGTATCCCTGACTCTTTTCATTTGAGGGCATGTGACTCCAATGACAAATCCAGCATTCTTCTAGGATGCATGTTCTCCCTGATAAACATGCAAAGTGTCTCTTGAGTTTTCTGCCCAAAGGCAGAAATGCTGTAACCAGAACACTGTTTGGCCAAGACTCAAAGTGGAAAACAAAAGCATGCCACTCAGTGGCTACATGAGGGAATGAGAGGGCATGGAGGATAAAGGTAAAAACTCACTAACAATAGACTAGGAAGACAGCCAGACTGGTTTGTGTTGACTCGGGGGTCTGCCCATGAATTTACTTTTCATGAATTTAGAACTGCTGGAACCAATTTCTCACTTTCCTATGACTTAATTGTTCTCTCTCCCTTCCTCTCTTCACAAGAAAGTGTTTTACCCACACTCCTTAGGAGATGTGGTAACTAGACTAATTTTAAAGCCAACCTGTCACTGTAAACTTCAAGCCTATGGTGAAGTTCGTGTTAAAAAGCCTGTCTGTTGAGTGAGACAGATAAGTTGGCAGATTTTTCCTCTTTGACTCAGCCTGTTTGATGAGAGGAAGAGGGGACATACTGACCTATGTTTTGAAACGTGCTCCTGCACTAACTTGCCTCATTAAGGGAGCAAGAGCAGCTGGGGTGGCTGTTTCCTTCCCAGGACAAAAGCCAATGCCGTAGCCCACTCAGAGAGCCAGAGAGAAAATGTCATATCATCACGTGGTCATTGTAAAAATGCGATGGAGAACATTGGATTTAGGTAGCTACAGAGCTGCCCCAGATCCTCATATTAAAAGTTTGACGGTGTCCCCTAAGTTGTCCTCCAATGCAAGGCAGAGGTGATTCTACCCATACTCAAGTATCCAATGATAGCATTTCTTCCCCACTGAGTGTCACTCTTTTTATTCATTTACTTTTGTCATTCTATTATAAACTTTTCCTTTCATCCAGGTCAATTCTGAATGTTTTCCCACTTGCAACTCTCTTCACTGTTATTTTACAGCGCTGCTTGGGAAAATGTTTCCCATTGCTTCTCTGAGGCTCTTGTTTTAGCTCTGCTAGTTGAGATTTCTGGGGAAAATTCACGATCCTCTTGCCTCTGGATGAAGAGTTAATAGTAATAGCAGATGGTGGGTCAAAGCACTCCAACAAAACAAGGTTAAGTGATCTGGGCCTGGCTGCGGGTCAGGAATTTTAACAGGGCTCAGCTGGGTGATTCTTCTGCTCCTTGTGTCTTTGGCTGAGGCCCTCATTTCAGCTGCATTCAGCTGGCAGCTGGGCTGGGTTAGAGGCTATAAGAAGGCTTCACTCATAGGTCTGGCTCCTTGGTGCTCTGCCCTGTGGCCCTTCACTCTCTCTATTTGGTAGGCTAGCCCGTGTGTCTTTACAGCATGACAGCTGGCTTCCCAAAGGGAGAAAGTGGATGCTACTAGCTCTCAGTGCCCTTCGCTCAGAGGGCCTACATCACCTCCATGTTTCATTGGTCTAAGTTACAGCACCAGTCCGGATTCAAGGTAAGGGAAGAGAGATTCCACTTCCCGATAGACAAAGGATACAGTAATGTATGCTGGTAGTGTCTGCGTCTCTGTTTTCTGTACTTTAACTACATGTTTTATATTTTGTTTCTGTGTCTTTATATAAATTTATCATTAAAAAAATTTTCCAAACTAAAAGAGACTTGGAAAGCCTCCCAGTAATGAGTTATAAAATATGCCTTTATTTGCCTTTGAAAAGTTTGTTTTTCTAACATAAATTCAGAGAAATATATTATATATTTTAAGCTTAAAGAAAATGTTAGTTTCTAGTGGATAGCCATCATTGCAGCTGCCCAGTTATTTATTTTTCAAGGATTTATGTGTGATAGCATAAACTGGACCATCATAATTTGTTCAAGACAAAATATTTCATAGCGTAGATATGTTAGGCTTTGATGTATATGTTAAATAAAAATAGATATTTTTACAATATATTTCAAACAGGAAAATAAAGGGCATAGAAACTTAACCAAGTTTTCTTACACAGTGTATATTGCTTGAGTCAAGGGAGAAAAGATTGGATTTAAAATCTGTATTGCATTTTGGGAAATGCTGTGCGAGAAGAGAGATGTTACTAGAACTGCTGAGTGAATTTTGTTTACTGCAGTTCAACATCTCATCAAGCAAATCGTGTGGAAGGGAGGAGTATAAATGCACCTTTTTATGTAGGTAATTTTTCTGTTTCATACCTCTGATTCATCTCTCTGCCTTGCTTTATGGGGAGTCATGCTACATTGGTTACAATTAATTTCAGTGCTGCATATTAGCCATAAAGAGATATTTTATAAGTTGAGTTGATGTAATGTTTTCCCTCTGTGGTTTTCTTGAAAGATGAGAACGGTCCAGAGGAAAAGCCAAGCGTGGAAGAAATGGAAGGGCCGAGCCAAGAAGCAGGTGGGCTCAGATTTCTTTTGAAGAGTCTCCTAGGCCTCATCCACAGAGGTGAACAATGACTTTACTCAGTACTGTTTTCTGAAAATGCTTCTACTTTTTTAACTTCACTTTCATTCAGGTCTCCCTCAGGAAGCCACCAACTCTATTAACTCAGAGTCACAGGGCTTCCTCTCAGAAGGGGACATTGTCATGTCTCATTCGCCGATTCCATTTTTCTTCCATGTAATTACAGCTTGCTTAGCAGAGATCGAAGAGGGATGAGCAGAGGTTGCAGTGTCAAGTCAGAGCGTGGCTGATTTAGGGCAGGTTTAAATGAGCAGAGGTGATTTGGGCGGGGGGAAGAAAGAAATGAAAAATGTTTAAAGGAATGAAGTGAGAGCCTTCCCCTCCACAATGAGTGGAGTGTTCTTTACTGTTTTGCATGACATTTTGAAGAGCCACCTGTCTGGTTATTTCTCTGCGTGTTGTGGGAGGTCGCGTCGCTGAGCCTGACCACCCCACACACAAAGCTGAAGTGAGATCCGAAGGCTTCTTGACATCCCCTCTGTTCACCACAGAACAGATGTATCAATTGAATGTTTACAGATCTTCAACCGTAGATTACAAACTGAACATTTAAAAAATGTTCAAAAGACTCCAAAGAGATTGTGATCACCTTCAAGGTATCATCTCTTTTCTACCCATTTTGTACTCAGGCGCGCTCTCCTTTAAAAACAATAGACACAATTATGCAGCAATCAACACAAGCGCCCAGACTAAAATACCCTCTTCTCTAGTTTGCAGGTCATTCTCCCAGTTTTCATGAGCCCGTGGTGCTGGGGTGGAGGGGGGCGGGGGGTGCATTTTTGAAATAGTGGCTCTATCTAATGTGTGCCAGGCACATCCTGGGCCCTCTGCTGAAATCTTGGAAATAAACCAGGTGGTGGGATAAGTTTTGCAATGGAAACTTCCTACATTAACCTTGGAACTTTAGCAAGAGAACTGGAGGCTTTTATTATTGACCTGGAAGATGGAATTGAGGAAGGCCAATCAGAGAAAGCACTGAAGCAAGGCAGCAGGGACCTTGCGCAGCTGCGATGGGGTCAGTGGGCTCCCTCTGCTGAGATGCAGTGCGTGCAATGAAATGAATTCTGATACAGCAAACTGTTGTTATTCACGCCCCCACCCAGCTCCCGACCCACACATCATTATGCTCCATGGAAGATGAGTCTTATGTGAAAAGCTGTCACCATTTTGACTGTTTGGGCTGATAAATATTAGTCAGCCAACTGCTGACAGCTGAGGCCATCCTCTGAATGCTGAGGATTCACAGGTTTTTTCACTCACTGCTCCGTCTCAAATTGTCTTGATCAACATAGAATTTTCCTATTCCTGTTTACACACACATATGCACACACACACCCGTATATACGTGCACACATTTACCTGTGTTTTATTTATTTACCATTTCCCCCTTAAGCAATTGAGAACAGGCAGCTTCTTTATTTGGGATCATCTTGCCTGTTAGCAGGCAAGTAAAATGTAATCCCTCTTCTCTACCTCTTGGATCAATAGTGTCATTACCACAATATGGGAACCTCTCAATGTGAAAAAGCACTCCTAAATGCACACCTGAGGGGCTCCTCTTGCTCTTCCAAATGAGCCGGCGGGCTGGCCTGGGGCCCAGTGGCAGGGTTCATCTGCAACCCTGGCCAGTGCCAACACATGTTGCTATGCCCACTCTGTTCATTTCATAGTCTCCCAATCTAAGTGCAGAGGAACTGAAGATGTGGTTCTGGTTATTAAAGCCCTTTGACCTACAGTTATTCTTCTAAACTAAAAACACCTGCTTTTCATTCAATATAATTTCCAACTTCAATTTTGATTATACAATTCTGCAGGCTTCTTCCACATCAAGGAAAAAACCCCACAATCTCTAACTAGCATAACCCATCCGTTCTCACTGTTATCTTAATCAGACTAAATCAAAGTTGTGGATATTATATTCCTCAGTCATTCACAGACGCTGTCTGGACACTGGGACACAGCAGTGAACTATAAAGACACTATCCCTGAACGCTCAAAGCTGATATTCTGATGGGGAGGTCCGAAAATAATAAACAACCAGAAGGTGTAAGATAGTGACAGATGCCTTGCAGAGAAATGAGGAAATGTAGAAGGAATACTGTGAAGGCCTGGGGAGAGAGCGGGACAGGGAAGAGGGGAACGAATGGGTGGGGAAGGGGGGCATCTGTAATACTTTCAACAGTAAAGATACATTTTAAAATTAAATTGAAAAGGTAAACATGAGATCTAAGTGATGAGATGATGAAAGTCCTTTAAAATGGAGGGAATGGGTAATGCAAATGCCTCTAGGCCAGTTTGGGTTGGCATGTTGCTGAAAGAAGGTGGGATAGCTGGAGCATGGTGGACTAGAGGAGTGTGGTGTGAAATCTGGTAAGAGGTCATAGTTCCAGATTACTTCTGACTGTATGAGATTTGATTTTATTAGAACTACAAAGAGAAGCCAATGGTAGTTTTTAAGAAGAGGAAAGACATAAGCTATGTTTTATTTTACTTTTTGTTTTTGTTCCATTTACTTTTTTAATTTTAAATTTATCTTTACTGTTAAAAGTATTACAGATGCCCCCTCTTTTTCCCCCACTGACCCACTCTACCCTACGCACCCCACAGGCCTTCACCACACTATTGTATGTGTCCATGGTTATGTATATATGTATAGAATAAGCTTGCTTTGGCTGTGAGTTAAAATGGTCTAAAGAGCCAACATGAGAACAGTTAGAAGGTACCATAGGAAAGCAATGATGGTGGTTTCTGCAACTGGAGACAAAAATGGACTGGTTTGTGTTACATTCTAGAGACAAAGGCAATAGGTTATCCTGATAGGTTGGAGGTGGGAAATGGGGGAAGAGGAAAGTCCTAGGTTTGTTGTTGTTTTTAATATTTTTATTGAGTTCAGAGAGGAAGGGAGAGGGAGAGAGAGATAGAAACATCAATGATGAAAGAAAATCATTGATCAGCTGCCTCCTGCATGCCCCACACTGGGGATCGAACCCACAACCTGGGCATGTGCCCTGACCGGGAATTGAAGTGTGGCCTCCTGCTTCATAGGTCGATGCTCAACCACTGAGCAAAGCCAGCCGGACAAGGCCTAGGTTTTTAACACTAGTTAATTATGGGATGATGGTACCACTTACCTATACAATATGTGGAGGATTGGCCATAGGGAACAGCTTTTGCTGAGAAAGTTAAATAGCTCAGTTTTAGCCATGGTAAATTTGAGAGAACTCTTAGCCCAAAGGAATGTCAAAAACCCCAGTCAGATATAGAAGTCTGGATTTCTAGGGAGAGCTCTGGGCCAGAGATATGGTTTTGAGAGTCACTGGCATATAAATTATATTTAAAAGCATGAGACTGAATAAGATTCACTAGAAAGAACATGAGTAAAGGAATCAGTGGGCCCTGGGACACTGTTACATGTAGATCTGTGGCAACAGGGGAGAAGGAGCAGCCACAACGAGAAAGTGTTTCAGAAAGAACAGAGTAAAGGAATGCTACTGAGAAATCAAGTAAGATAAGGGGAATAGCCATTGGCTTCGGCAAAGGGAGGTTACCGCCACATTTTGTGAGAGAATTCCTGGGCAGCATGGAAGCCAGTTGGAGTGGGTTGTGGAGAGTCTGTGCACCGAGGAAGTATATTACAGACATCTCTTTTAAGGGAGTTTTGCCATGAAGAGAAATAAAGAAATGGGAAGATGTGACCTCAAGGTTAATAGTTTATTCTTTCTTTATTAAATAGGAAATGGTCACTTAACAAAAGAAAATGATTCATTATTTCCTATTATCCCCCTACTAAAATTGTTAATCTCTGTTCCAATAGAGACATGACCTAAAAGTAATAGTCATATAATATTATGGACAAGACATATGCTAGAAAGTATGGGATTTGCCTTCAAATGCGTGTCAGTCGCCATGCATGTATAACGTTTTAGTTTAAAGGCCCTGTTACTGCATGAAAATAATATGTACTATTTCTTTTCCAGTTGTCAAGCATTAAACATTTCAAATGCTTTTGATAATGTTTCATGTCTTAAATCTACCAGTTTCATGTTAGTAAGTTAATTGTCTATTACCCTGGAAGCCACATGTGAGTGGAATCACTGGGGTGCCCATGTACCGAGAAGACAGATAGGCTCTGAGGAAGTTAATTGCTGCTTTAAGGGGCGCAGGGACCTCCAAGTTCCTTCTCCCTGGTCTGCGCGTGGGTGACGTGAAATCTCCCAGTGGCTTGTGGTGCTTTCCTACCTGGGATCCCCTTCTCCGGGGTCTGTGCTGCCAGCCTTCAAAGTGCCCCCTGCAGGTTCACAGCCTGGCACTACGGCGCAGAGGTGCTAAGAAAACCAGATCTGAAAAGCACACACATGAAAGCACTTTGTGGAAACTCGCAAGAGCATCCTTTCCTCGACAATCCGTTTTAAGAAAAATGTGTGCCATTCCACTAGAGGTGGGGAAGAAGCAAAATGCCAAGGTACAATAGTACCAACAAACAGCATCATTTGCCAAAAAATAGTTTGTAGTTCATTGGGCTCTGTCTTAACCTTTTGTGAAGGTTTCTGTTTCATTAATTATAAGAGGGAATCACAAACCACTAACCGCTTCAAAGACTGTTCAGTGTATGAGAGCATGAAACAGGTTCATATTCCTGTGGTCCGGGGGGGGAGGGCGGGTATGCTGGCAGTGAGGCTCTGCTTAGCAGCATTAACTCTGAGCTGGTGTTTTCCTTGTCTGCTTTGTAGATGGCGTCAGTGCTGCTACTGTGCACAGCCCCGCTTCAGAAGAGGCCGCTGAAGTCTGTAAAGACGAAGGTAAGAGGCTCCTACTACATCTAAAAATCAAAATCGCTTAGGAGGCCATTTGAGTTTGCTATATATGGAAAAATGATGCAGCAAGCAAAATCTTATCTAATTCTCTTTAAGCATCTCTATTTCAATAAAGTATCTCACCCACTCTGCTTTATTCCATATCTGCTTCTTAGAATTTACATGTGCATTTACATTGGTTCCTCTGAAAAGTAGCTTTGTGAAACAAGAGAATGATTGGAGAAACTATGTTTAAAGATGTTTAAACAGAATTAGGCATTTCTGCTGTTTATGGCTACTCTTCAGGAATAAGTTAAAAGGGTGGCTTTTGGGATCCACCTACCAGAGAGCTTCATTATCCAGACATAAGAAGGAAGAAGCTTGAAAAGGATCCTTAGAAATAAATCTTTGGCAAGAGCATCATTCCTCATTCTATGGACAGTTACTATGAGGAAATGTTGCTGACCCAAGTATCTCCAAAAGAAGAAAAAAGTTGACTTAGATTATAGGAGAAAATTTGAGGGAGAAGTAGTGGAGACATTCATGCTTCTATGTCGCCGGGTCCATAATCTTTTCTTTCCCTCCTGACTCAAGGTAACATTTGTCTTTCCCCACACAAAAAGGTAACATTATTTTATTTATTTTTTGGTATGTAGTTTTCAAATTTTATTTTTCAATTACAGTTTATATTCAGTATTATTTTGTGTTAGTATCAGGTGTACAGCAGAGTGGTTAGACAATCTATACTTTACAAAGTGCTCCCCTTGATATTTTAAGTACCCACCTGGCACTTACAGTTATTACAATATTACTGAGTATATTCCCTAGGCTGTCTTTTATATCCCTGTGACTATTTTGTAACTACCAATTTGCAGTTCTTAATCCCTTCACCTTAAAAAGGCAGTATTATTTTATATCTGTCACCGGTAACTACTGAAAAATCCTTCTGTTGTAGTTGTACAAATGGACATCTGGTGATCTACTTGAGACTTTCGGATAGATATGCTCAGTGCATTTCTTTAGTTTGGAGTGTTATGAAAATAAACCCATACTTGACAATTGATACTAGCATAATTTCTAAATGCCTTGAACTGGTGTTTAGAAAATTAAAGTTGTCCTGGATTGGCTAGAGGAGAACCAAGATGGCGGCATAGGTTAAACAGCTATTTGCATCATTCATTTCATTTGCCTGGTAAATGAGCTTTTCTAAATGAGGTTTCCTATGTACTGAGGGGGTTTGAGATAGGTGAGGGCTGCCTGCAGCTGGGAAAATAAGTTCCTCATTCCTGAAGGGGGATCTGGGTGGCCCAACACCATCCCCTACACTGTTATTTCAATGGCCCTTATCTTGTTCATTGCCACTTTTAAAATGAATCCCTTAGCAACTCCCTTCATCTACTCAGATATGTGTTCTGACATTCCCGGTTTTATCTGATATATTTATCCCTCATCACTTGGTATATCTAAAAATACAAATAATGTCAGATAGTCACATAGGTTCAGATAAGAAACTCAAGATCATTTTAGACAGAGAAATAAGCCTGACCAAGTCAGAGCGAAGAGACAGAAAGTGATGTTCCTCCTAAGTAAATCATTTTGGACATTCCAATCATGTAGCTGTGAAAGCCTTTTCTTGTAAATGTCATGAAGTTGGATGGCAGTTTAGGAAACAAGAACCTAATGTAAGTTTGTGAAGCTGAGGTGTTTGCCTGTTGAGTCGTTTGGTTTGGAGATATCACACCTTTATAGAAACACAATGTTTGTGATGTTTCTTGATGCTTTCAGGATCCCACACCATTAATTGCTCATGCCAGGATCAATTTCTCAGAATGCTTTTAGGATTTTTTTTTTCTACATGAAATTTGTAATGGTGGCAACTCCAAAGAGTTCTGCCATATATTACAAATGCAGTTCCCTAATAATGACTAATTGTGAAGTTTTAAGGATTTTACTGCAATACATTTTCAATACTCATTAACCTCTTGATCTAGGGAAAAGTGTTTCAAAATCCCCATTAGCATGTAAACCACTACAAATAGAGCATATAGGCTATAATATTTGTCTTTTCCTTCTTGAAACAGCATGTACCACTGTTTTTGTTTTTAATTTATCTTTATTGTTGAAAGTATTACAGATGTTCCTACTTTTTTTCCTATCGACCCCCTCCACCTTGCACCCACCCTTCCCAGACCTTCATCACACTATTGTCTATGTCCATGGGCTATGCATATATGCATGTAAATTTCCCAGTTAATCTCTCCCAACTGGGCCACCCCCGCCTTCCCTCTGAGATTCATCAGTCTAAATTGTGCTGCTTTGAACATAAGGGTGCATATATTCTTTCTCATTGGTGTGTTGAGTTTCTTAGGATATATTCCTAGAAGTGGAATCATTGGATCAAATGGCAGTTCCTTTTTTATTTTTTATTTTTTTGAGGAAACTTCATACTGTTTTCTATAGTGGCTGCACTATTCTCACCAGCATTGTATTAGGGTTCCCTTCCCTCCACATCCTCGCCAGCATTTGTCATTTGTTCATTTGTTGATGACAGCCATTCTTACAGGAGTGAGGTGATACGTCATTGTTGTTTTAATTTGCATATATTTGATGATCAGTAACTTTGAGCATTTTTTCATATGTCTCTTGGCCTTCTGTATGGACATTGTACCACTGTTTTTAATTGATTATTAGTTGAAAGCTTAGGACTGCTATCTTGACTGGTAATTATGTAGCTTAGAATGAAAAAAAAGAAATGAATTTGCCATTGAAATCTCCCAAGATTGAGGTCAAGTTGAAGTTAATAGGGTTGGGGATTCATTTCAAATATTCACTATTAGTTTCATGCAGAAGTATATCTCCTTGGTGACAATTGGGCTATTTATGAGCTCTGCAGTTATAAGATTGCTTATAAAAATGCATATTAAACTCTCCCATTTAAAAGGCAGAACATGTTTGCTGACCAAGCAGCCTGAAGGAGCCCTTGCTCTCTTGCCTTTGCTTCCAGACTCAGATCCTGACCCAGCGTCTTCTTCTTGGGTTGGGAACAAACAATCTAATGAACTGCCCTTCTCTCTCTCTCTCTCTCTCTCTCTCTCTCTCTCTCTTTTTCCTTCGAGACTCATCAGTCATTTCCAGCTTTTCTTGTTGGTTTGTCTGGCTTTACATTTGTCATAACTTTGGACCCCACAGGATACTAGCATCTTCTAGAGTGCAAGGCTTAAAACAAGCAAATAAAACATGGGCTGGCTCATGTGCCTTGGTTTGGGAGCTGAGATTTTTAAAAAATTAAAATTGGTATGTGAAAGTTGAATAATTTTAAGAGGAAGTGTCTTCTGGGGGTATCTTCTATCGCAGTGATTTTGTTCAAATGTTCTAGACATATTTTCCATTGGGTACTTAGAATGGATGCCTATCATCCATGTGCCCCACGTAATTGCTAACAGTGCAAGCTGCTGACAGAAAGAGGCACTACTGATTGGCTTATGTCACAATAGCTAGATTGTGAGCTACAGACTGAAGACACCTGTTCCCAATGATCATTGCAGCCCTCAGATGGGCAGGAGTTGCATTGAGAGGATGAGATGTGAGGAGGAAGAATACTGATGAGTAAGCTAATCACACAGGGGTGCCTGCCCAGGATATGGCAGCCAGGACTTAATTGAAATGAACTCCAAGGTAAAGCTGGCTTAAGAAATTATCTATAGGTTAATAAAAATTCTAAGGTTATTTGTAAAATACTGCTTTCACTTATTTTTTGAGAGATTTCTTCCTCTACTCTTAAAAATACTCTATTTATTGATTTAATCACTGTTTATACTTTAAATCCTAAAAATAAAAAAATAAAAACACCCAGGAGTACAAATGTTAAGGCTACTTAAGTTATCAAACATAGAGGTAATCACAAAAAGAGGAGTATAAATACAGGAATAAAATTCATATTAGTAATATCAAGCACTTTGGTTGAAACTACTATATAGTTATTATTTGAAATATAGTCAATCTTCTTAATTCAAGGAGAACTCTTCATTCTACTTGTCTCAACACTCATAATAACAGTTCATCCTCACTCACAGCCAAGGCCCAGGCACCTTGGGTGGGGGAGGACAGCTATTTAAACACATTTTGATTCTCCTGTCTTAGTATTTTACTACCCAATTTGAATTTGAAGCTCAACCGGACCAAATCATATGCTCATCCTATATAATCCTATATAATAGAAGGCTAATATGCAAATAGACTGAGTGGCGGAATGACCAGTCACTGTGACACACACTAACCACCAGGGAGTAGACGCTCAATGCAGGAGCTGCCCTCTGGTGGTCAGTATGCTTCCACAGGGGGAGTGCCACTCAGCCAGAAGCCAGGCTCATGGCTGGCGAGTGCAGAGGTGGTGGTAGCAGCCTCTCCCACCTCCACAGCAGCACTAAGGACCCCTCAGAGGATGTCTACCTGCTGGCTTAGGCCGCTCCCTGAGAGGGGGCAAGTCAGGCTGAGGAGGGACCCCCTCTCCCCGTGGATGAATGTCGCGCACCAGGCCTCTAGTTAATAAAGGCAAAATCAATTAATACTCAGGTACATGCACAGCAAGCTGGGATTCCTTAGAGCTTTGTGTAAGTCATGCCATTGCTGTTTGGTATTTATATAGTCAAATGTCACCTGGCAAAGGATTTCTTAACCCTCACTCTAAGTTTAAGACTTGCTAGCGGTCAAATTTTCTATAGAACAGGGAGAAAGAGAGCAAAGTTAGCCTTGCCAAAGACAACAAAAGAGAAAGGATGAGGCTACATCTGAGTAAGTAGATTGGAGAGTGTGTGAGAGATGAGCATAAATATTCCCAACCATACATGGCTGTAAGCTTTGACCAGTATGGTGGGCTCCAGATGGCTGTGAATGCTATCTCTATCCCTTGTCTAAATCTTGGGAGAGAAACAAAACATTGGCCCACCCACGAAATTCCCCTTAGGCTTCTTTGGGCTGATGTTTCTTCCTATTCTTGGTGTCCCCTC